GAATTAAGGAACTTGGCCTGGTGTCTCGTTGCCATACTGCAGAAAAGTTATATAGTTTATCTTTAATTATACCATAAATAAAAAAAGAAGGGCAAATTACATAGGGTTGCACTGCGTTTTTCATAGTTTGTGTTTAACTTAAATGCGTTTTCCTAAACAAACAAGTCAAAAGAGAGAGAAGAAAGCCATGTAATCCACGTAAGCGGACGCTCAGGTGAGTGTCTAAGTGCAGGACACATGGAAAACTGATCTTCAGCCGTGAGGAGCTGTCAGAGGCAGCTGCAATCAGGGAAGCTCAGACCACTTCCAAACACTCCCATGGATTTCAAACACTAAAAAGTCTCGAGTGTGCACTAAATCCAACATAATAACTCAACATACACAAGTGTAAGTTACAACATACCTCACATATTGTACGTTTAATGCGTGAGATTTTAACACTGGCTTGTTCGTTGTACCTTTGAGATCTTGGGCTGGACAGTCCACGGGGAACTCTGCCTGCTCTGGTCGCCCGTTCACAGTGAAGTAGATGATTTTGGTGTCCATGTCCTCCATCCAGAAGATCCAGAGTGGCTGATGTTCGGTTTGGCATGTAGGTTTAGTGTCAGTCTATCTTCAACACCATCAGTGCACAACTCACTCCTCCCATTGGGCTGCATGCTCCTCCTCTTCATCACTCCTCCCACAGTGGATCTTCAGTAAGGCGGGCTTCAGTTTCTTCTATTAACCTGTTAATATAGAGAATAGGTTTGGGTTCGCTGCATAGCCTAGAGCAGCAGATACGATGATACGAAACGATGCAACAGGTATTGTCTGGGTGTCTACAAGAATGAAATAAGATGCTAAATAAGATATGTTTTTTTATTACTTTTTTGTGCACATAAAAAGCAGATGACAAAAAAAAGAAAAACAGTTAGTAATAATATAATGTGACCATCCCCCCATTGTCTCCAGAAAAAACACAACAACAACAACAAACACAACTGTAAATAACCTATAGTATAATTTGTCTTGTTGAAATCTCTTGTGACTTTTTATGATTGTATTTTTTTTTTTTTTATGTTGCACCATTTTCTGTTGTTGACCACTGACTCGTGCGTTTGTGTTTGGCGCTTTTATTTTGAAGGGTTTATGTTTGTCTGGTTACTTTGACAACGAGAGGGGAGAAACGTTGCGGAGCAAATGTGCACCCAATCATTTTTGGTATTTTTCTAAGTTTTTGTTTAGCTTTCCCTCTGAAGAGGCACAAAGGTATGTTTTTGATGTAAATATTTCTTTGAATAATTTTTTGTGTCGTTAGATTTTTATTATTGTTGATTGATGTTGTCTAGATTAATGTAAATATTAATCAAACTTGCGTTAAGTTTTGTAAATGCCTATTCACACGTTGTATTTGTGTTCTTTTTAGCTCTTACGGCAGATTTGAAGGATTTATTGACATTAAATATAAAAATCACCAGTTCAAGTGTCAAGTCTTCATTCAGAGGGATATGCTACAACAACAACCACAAACAACAAACACAACTACAACAATAACAACCACAACAACTTTAAAGAAATGTTACAGAATCACTGGTGGGACCCAAATATGCAGAGGGGAAAAAGTATTTTATTCACAAAAATAGTCTTGGCGGGGGGATAGATTCCAGGGGAGGCAGGACGGGTCCGGGTTGGCTGCAGACGGGAGATCTGTGGAGGTGGAGGCTGACCGGAGGCTTACAGAAATTGGTGGTAACGGGATGAGGCTGGCTCCAAAACAGAAGAACTGTGGAACGGATAAAAGAAAACAGGTAAGAGTCAAAAATCTTCAAAAATACTCAAAAACACAAAAAGCCTGAGTTGTTCACCACCTGGTTGACGGAACGATCTGGCACTGGAGAGCAGGTTAGCAGGTCTTTTATTGCAGGAGATGATTACTTGACGAGGATCAGGAGTGGAGCTCAGCAGGTGAGATGAATTGGGGACCTGCCCAGGAAAAACCAAATAAGGTGAGAGAAGGGAAGAGGGAGCAGGGAAAGGAGGGGCAGAAAGAAACTCTCACAAGAAACTTCAATAACTAAATAAATCCAAATAATTAAAATATTTTAGGCCTTTTTCATAAAAAAAACAACAACATAATAATATAATTTATATAATATAATATAATATTTATATAATAACATAATTTACTTGCAGTATGTGTTGTAAAGGTGCACTCTGTAACTTGTCTGGCGGAGGGTCCATCACCTGCTTGTCTCCATGGACATGTGCCTACAATTGTCCACAGAACGGCCACAAACTTAAGAATCTTCACGGAGATTTGCAAGCTAAATTACAGGTAAGATTTGTGGAAAGAAGACCCCACTCACAGTAAGAAATTATGTTTTTGTTTGTTTGTTTGTTCAGATATTTCTGAGCCCTTAAACGCCTGTAGTTACCCGACTACTTTAACACCATATAGTCTGGGCAATTTAAACCAAAGCATTAACATCTCCATGGAGACAAACGGGTTGCGGACATTCTCCAGAAAAGTTACACAGTGCACCTTTAAGTTTAGCGACCTACTGTAGAACATTCCAGGTAAAGAAACATCTCCATGGAGACAATGGAGACAACAGAACGACCAGCAATGGACACATGTAGTGGCATTCCCTTTACCAGAAAGTTACACAGTGCACCTTTTACATTCACTATACCTCCATTATAATTACTGAATGCTTAATGTGGGGTTATTGATTTATAAAAATTTTTTTAACACAATGTATTTACTTTTTAGAGTAGGTAAACCTTACAAAAACACATACAACACATTAAATCAAATATGAATTATATTAATATATTTTTTGTATACTTGCCTTTTGATGGTGAAGTTACAGGCTACTTGCACGTGCACCACTGACTTTAAATCGAGACATTTGTTATAATTGTTGTCTTTTTCTTTGCGCAAATGCACCTTCAGTGTTGGGAAGGTTACTTTTAAAATGTATTCCCCTACAAATTACAGATTACATATCCTAGAATGTAGTTTGTAACGTAATCCGTTAATTTACTTAAAGTGAGTAACGTAATCTGAATACTTTGGATTACTTGATTTGCTGTAGAGAAGCAAAGACGAGGATATTGTAACTAAATAAATAAAAAAAAACAGACTTTACTTAACCGTATTAAAAATATTATTGATAGAAGAGGAGGAAACACATCCACGCAGCATGGTTAAGTCCTGTTAAATCCTGTTTTAGACCTGGTTTAGACCTGGTTTTAGTCCTGGTTTAGTCCTGGTTTAGACCTGGTTTAGTCCTGGTTTAGACCTGGTTTTAGACCTGGTTTTAGACCTGGTTTTAGTCCTGGTTTAGTCCTGGTTTAGACCTGGTTCTAGTCCTGGTTTTAGACCTGGTTTTAGACCTGGTTTTAGACCTGGTTTAGTGTCCGGGTTAGGGTTAGAAAAAAAGAAAAGAGGGATTTAGCCCAAAATGTAAAAACAGGAATCCACTTATTTCAACGAAGTAACTGTAATCCAATTACCACTCACTGAAACAGTAACTGTAACTGAATACAGTTACTCATAATTTGTACTCTGATTACGTAACTCCGGTATGTAATCTGTTACTCCACAACACTGAATGCGTCTTGAAGCTTCATTTGCCCATCACTACCTTTAAGCATTGGGCAAAACTCAGTCCCAAACTTTGCAATTTGTAAAATATTTAAATACAACAATTTAATAAAAAAATAAAAAATTCGAGACTTCTTAAAATAAAATAAAAAAATAGCACGAGCTTGAATCATCTTTTTTTTTTTTTAATGCATTTATTTTGGGCAAGTAAAGATTTACATTTATATACAATGGAACATATGACATAAGTGAAATCATAATAGAAATGAAAATAACAACAACTACTAATAACTATTATTATTACAATTTTGCCCAAAAAGGAGTGGGAAGAAGAAAACTTATTTAATCCCACCCCTACTCTTCATAATCTAACACAATGATCTTATTTTGCGTTTTTCAGACATTTTGAATTAAACTATATGAACTATTTACAAGTGCAGACAAGAGTCACTGTTATAGCTTGGTAGTATAACATAAGTGCACCAACAATGGTAAAGTTAAGGAAACAGACAATGGTAAGAAACAACAAATACAAGTAATGTAATGGACAGCACATACCAGCAATGGTAAGAAAACAACAAACATAAACCAGCGCTACAGAGGCAGTATTTTTCTAATATTATGACCCACTCTCCATATACTGTGACCAAACCATATGTTTATATAACAACTTGAATTTATGGATATTTTGGCATTGCTTGAGATGTGTATCCAGTCTGTTCCAGAGTTTTACACCACATACAGACTTTTGTATGGACTTCTTTAAAGGTTGTATAGAGGATTTTTTAAGGAAAGAGAAATACAGCGACATTTTTCAAATGTTGTGCATGCGAAATAGAAATAATTTAGCGACCGATGCATCAGTTTTTAGACACTTTGTCGGCTTCAGCCGCACCATCGCTGGAAGGAATCACCTCAGTTTGGCTTTGCTCCTTTTCCCCTTCTCTTCTTCTTTCAGCGACCTCAAAAATTGACTTTCTTTTGCAGCGAACTGGTTGTGGACTCTCGTCGGCCATCACAACAAACTTTGTGCGAATTGCAAGGAAGCTACTGTTTTAAAAAGCCTCTAAGAACCGCTGCATAAACCACGTAATCCCCTCACGCTGACGAGTCAGTTACACTAGAAACATAGGGAGTTTGATTGACAACCTAACAGCCAATAGCCTCGTTATCTATTGGCTGATGTTTATCTGGCCTCACTACATCCACAGTTGATAGATTTTCATTCTTTTTTTTTCTTTTTTGGTCATCATAATTACAAGGCTGCTGCGTCTCTGTAATGGTATTTTAAACTTTCATTGACAATTTGAAACTTTAAAAAAATCCTCCATACAACCTTTAACGCTACCTCTCCCTCCTCAGCGGTAGATGGCGCTGTCGTGGTTTTCCCCTTTTATATTTTTCTCTCCTGCTCCTCCTCCGGGTCACCGCATGGACGAGCAGAGCAGCAGCACAACAACGTGGTTTGGGTGAATTTTTTTAACTCGTTCACTTTTATCGTAATGTATATTTAAAGCTTTATTTACTTTATTATCAAAATGACGGAAACGAAGGCAGAGGAGTCTCCAAAACAGCTGCTCGCGCTAAATCCTGAACAAGAATCCGAGTTTAAAAGGAAAGTCCAGGAAGCGAAGAAGAGCAAATCAAGCAAGGTGAGTTTACCGTTTAAATATGATTAAACTTTATATTCTGTTAATTTATCTCGCTAAGATCCTGAATAATAATAATGTAATTGATTAGTTTTATCGCGTCGTTATGCGCATCAGTATCCCGGTTATTAGCCATATCATGGTTATGTCAGTATTCATGTTACTGCGTATACATGCGCACTTAGAAACCGGGACACTCATATCTGTGTATACATGATCAAATGGAGTATCCCGGTTTCTTGACATAATCTTACAAATGCGCAGACGCAAAAATTAACTTAAATCAATTTCATAAACCAGGAAAAATACAAACCGTGAGCTCCTTTAGCATAAGAAGCTAAGGAGCTACGAGATCTCCCACAATCCACTGCGCACATCAAACCCAACAGATTCTTCATTAAAATCTTCTGCCTAAATAAACTCAACTTTACATATAAACCATAACCACTGTAGAGCCACATCAACCCGTTTGATCAGATAATTCAGCTCTGATCACATTTTTTTACGTTTTACAGAAACGAAACTTAAGACCGTTTGGCTAATTAGCATAAACTGCTAGCGCTGATAAAAACAACTCGCTCCTTGTGCCGTTTCTTTTGGACTAAATGACACGACTATGGATTATGTGTGTTATTTTTGTGACAGAAGCTAATGATGGTAAGTGTGTTCTGTGCGTGTGTCGTATAGGAGATAGTTCATGTTTTATTTTCAGCGATCACGTGAGTGAAGGTCATACGAGTGCAGATTGTACGTGTTTAGCGCAGCAGTCATTTCACTCGTTTGGTCACTTTATTTATGTTGGTCACTTTATTTATGTCGCTACTGTTGTGGTGAAAGGCTGGAAAGTGTCTTTTGGACGCATGCGCACTCAACTTTATGTTGCACTAATCGGGATACTGCGTTTACATGCCACAAGTAGCCCGGTTACTATCGGAATAAACCAGCTACAGTAACCCGGGTTCTAATAACCAGGATACTGCCATAACCGGGTTACTGCGTATACATGCACCATCAAGAAACCGGGATACTCAAAAAAGCCGATCATAACCGGGTTATTGATGTGCATGTATACGCACTCATTATAGTGTGAAAACGTATGCTTGCGTGAGCGGTGTACACACGTGGGCATCTTTTTTTAGTTTATCAATTTATTATTTTTAATTTATGAATGATACACAAACTGGATAGCATTCAAGCTATGAAAATAAAGCGTATTCATTTTTAAATACAATGTCTAAAATATATGACTTTTTTTTTTTTTTTTTTCCCAACTCCTACTACTTAAACGTCCTAAGTTACATTAACCAGTGTTTCTATTCTAAAATCGTCTCCCCCTTGTCTAAATGACTCAGTAGAGCTGCTCGATGATGGAAAAAAAATATTATCACTATTTTTGGTCAATATTGAAATCATGATTATTCAAACGATTATTTTTTTATTACACGATGCATTTATTCAACATTTCTCTCTCTCAAAATTTATGCAAAACTTTCAAATTGAAAATAAATACAGGCTACAAATATGTATATTAGAGCAGTTTTGCGATGCATAAAACCAAAAAATTTATTAAAATATACTTTGAACATGAAATAAGGCACAGAAAAACATAAATGTATCCAAAATAAAGTATATATCTAGCTGTTCTACAATCTCAATATTTACAAAATAAAATAAATATACTTATTTATATAAAAAAAAAATTATCTCAAAATAAATCTTTTAATCGTTTCAACTCGATTATATGGGTTTGGAGATTGCTTGACACACAAATCGAAATCATGATCTAAATTTAATTAATTGCATTGCCTTTAAATAGTAAAAATAACACACAGGACTTATATGGCGCTTTTTTGAACGCACAAAGACACTACAAGCAATAAGAAAACCGCCAAAGACTTTGTTGCTCACTGAAGCCTACTATGTGACTACAGGAGTCAAACATGACTGCTTTAGAGTTTAAATATTGGCAATTAAGTGACATTTGTACTACACAAACTGCTTGAGTGCCAACAAAATCTAATGTGAAATGTTTATTGACGAGTCTGGTTGTCTACTTAGAGTATTTTAATATGCACATTTTTTAACCTTGTTTTTATTTTATTTTTCCAGGGTTCTGCATTCAGCCCTGGAGTTATTTATGTGGGGCATCTGCCTGTGGGTTTGTTTGAGCCGCAATTGAAAGCTTACTTTGAACAGTTTGGCAAAGTCCGGCGGCTGCGTCTCTCCAGGAGTAAAAGGGTAAGACTATTCTGTATATTTGAAATGTTTATATGTAATATGTTCTTTATGTATATAGAATAGGTTTAGTTTGTGGACTATTGGCTCATACTGAAAATGGCTTTGGATCTAAAAATGGTGTAAAGTCAGATAAATGAGCCCAAATAATTGTTGTACGTTATGCTTATTGCCTGCTCCTGGATTGGCAGAGCGATAAAACCCATGTGCCTACAAACCTTTGACAATCAATATGGACTTTTCTTGATAACAGTTCTACAAAACCAATAACTGAAGAAATGTTATAGCTGTGTAAAGTGTTTCAAATCGTGTCTTTTTGTTTTGCAGACAGGTGGAAGTAAAGGTTATGCGTTTGTGGAGTTTGACTGTGATGAAGTCGCCAAGATTGTTGCCGAGACGATGAACAATTACCTCATGGGAGAGAGGCTCATTAAATGTACGTTAAGTATTCATGTCATAACAAACAATATTATAATTTTATCGCATAATATTTTCGTAATTGTTATCTTTATTTCGAGCTTTGTCACAGCAGAACAAAGAGTGCTGAGATGAATGTAATCTGTATTATTTTAGTCTAAGGCTACGTTCAGACTGCAGGGTTTAATCCTCAATTTGGATTTTTTTTTGTGAGATCGTTCACATTTCCAGTTAAATGTGACTTGTTTGTGATCTCCAGTGTGAATTTCAAACACCCCAAAAGTGTCCCGCAAGTGTGCATTGGAGGACAAGACGACGTCACACACAGCGAGTCTGCTCAGTGTTTACAGAAGTCGTCTAAACGCTGGGCTTGTCTCCCAAAATACAGTCCAGTTCTTGGTAAAATGGACAGGTTTCACGTCCACGGCCGCTTCGTTTGTTTGAGTCTTTAGCCTCCTTGTATTTGACTCGCAGGCTCTTTATTTTTCATTGATATTGGAGCCAGGTTCGCCTGTAGCCACGCTCAGACATTTCTTGGGCAATCATTTAAAAAAAAACCCGGTTCCGATAAGCCTCCTCCAATTTGGCCTGAATACAGCGATCCCTCGAAATATTAATGAAGTCGCTAAATTCGCTTTCCCTCCATTGACTAGACTCCGAGCCTGACGTGTAGGTGGGATGAATGCGACCTGACCGTTCAGACTGAAGTCGCATGTCAAAAGATCGGATATGTATCAGTTTTAGGAACACGTATCCAAGTGGTCTGGGTCGCATTTGGAAAAAATCGGATCTGTGTCGTTCAGACTGTCATTAAAAGATGAGATACAGGTCACATAGGGGCGAAAATCATGTTTAGGTCACTTCAGGCTGCAGTCTGAACGTAGCCAAAGATTGACTCCTACAAATGAAAGATTGATGCTTGAAATGGAGTGGGAAGAAGTAACACCCACTCCAGTGTCAGAAAAGACATTTATAGAAAGTAAAGAAAAGCTCAGTCAGTTCAGTCTATACCTCAGTAATACAATACAAAATACTCACTTGTTACATGCTACATTTTTACAGCTTTTACAATGTATTTATTTATTATATGCAGTACCTTGAAAATTATCTCATAAAATGTGCTGTACAAATAAAGTGGGTTGTACTGGATATGAAAGCCAACACTTGAATAAAAACTACTAGTGTGGCTGATCTTTTGACCTCTATAACAAGGGCCAATTGCAAAACGCATTTTTTTTTTCCCAGGTCATGTGGTTGAGCCAGAGAAGGTGCACGAGAAGCTGTTTGTTGGCTCCGAGAGAGTGTTCAGTAAACCCTCCCGTCCAGCGGTGGCGCGCTACAACAAATCTCGCACTCAAGAAGACATCGACAAAATGACCAAGAAACTCCTGCGTAAAGAGGCCAAACTCCGCAAACGCCTGGCAGCGCACGGCATCGACTACGAGTTTCCAGGATTTGTAAGTACTACATTCTTAAAGGTGCACTGTGTAACTTTTCTGGTGGGGGGTCCGTCAAATGCTTTGTGTTGCTCTCTGTGGAGATGGATTAAACCTTTTTTTTTTATCATCACTGAGACCAAACCAGACCAAGTTACAGGTCAGAATGTCTGTTTTTCTAGCCATTTTTGAGCTATAAAACCACAAGTAATTTAATAAATGTAAGGTGGAGTCGTTTAATGTCATACTGTGGAACATTACAGGCAGAGCAAAAAGATATCCATAGAAACGAGCAGATGACGGATGGACCCAACCAAAAAGTTATACAGTGTACCTTTTTAACAAGTTTTATTTCTTCTGTATATTGACAAATTAATGTAGTTTTGTCATAATATAAAAGTTAAATATTTGTTTTTGATATGACAGTGCCTGATGAAGGAAACGTTGCATGATTTGTCCTAGTAAATCTCAAAATTTGCAAGTAAGACAGTGTGCAGGATTTTTCTCTGTCTTTCGAAAAATAAATTTATATGATACTGATTGATGTAGTTATTTTTTTGTTATTATTTATTTCTTTAGTTAACTCCTATTTCCTTTACCATCTCTTTAATATTATGATTACAGTGTTGGCCTAATGCATTTTTCAAAACCAAATATTTGAAGTAACTTGTGTAACCATGTGATCTGAAACTCTCTGTGATAAAGATAATGACAATTCTACTGGATAAGTCTCAATTTGTCCATTTAATTATTTTGTTTTGCAGTTGTAGTATCTGGGTATTGCTTTCCTTTTTTTCCTCTCTCTCTGAAACTTATAATTCATGTTTTTCCAGGCTGCTCAAGTCCCCAAGAAGAAGTCAGATGCCAACACATCGTCCCTGAGTGATGTAAGGATCAGTTTGTGATTTCTCTCACCTTTAGGGCCGTTTGCACAGACTGAAAATGGCCCCTGGTGAATCAGTGACTGGGGGTCAGATAACTGTGCAAACATTACACTGGTGCGTTAATGCTTATCGCGCTTGATATCTGTGGCAGCGTGATAAAACCCATGTACCAACAAGAAAGCTGAATTCATATCTACAGTTTCATGTAGTATTTGAATTTTTGCCAATTTTAACTTTTGCTTTGGTTTCATGCACAGTCAAAATCTGATTACTGACAGTTTTTTGAGTTCTAACATTATTAAAGGTCCTATATTACACAAAATTGACTCTTGTGAGCTTTAAGTCATGTTATAATGTTGTTACCTCCTCAAAAACAAACCTAGAGTTGCTTTGTTTCATTCACATGTTTTAGGAATCCTTCATTATTATTTTGTCTACATCTCCAAAGCTCTAAATGCTTTGTTCCACCTTGTGATGTCATGAACTAGTAGATTTCAAGTTTAAACAGCTACATTTTACCTTTTAGTTCAGTAGAGATTGGCAATTCCAGGGCTGAAATACTGTGTGGAGTTTAAAAACACAGTGGAGCATTATGCCTGTATTACCACATGACATCACAAGGTAGAGCAGTTTGTGAGTGTTTTTCCATTTGAGAGAAGAACTCAGCCTAAATATGCAGGGTTTGTGTGTTAAACATGTGCGAGTGAAACAAAACACAACTCCATGTGACAATATGGGCCCTTTTTAAAAAATGAAATGTAATCTACAATTTCTTCTGATCGTGGTTTTGCAGATTTAAGATGATTTCATTTACCTGCAAACTGCAAAATCTGCAAAAATCCAGAAATTAAATAACGATAATCAAACTTTCGATGTGCATGTGAACATGGCAAATTAAGGAATCTTTTTTTATACCAAATATATGGAAAATATTGGGCAGGTTTTCATGTAGTAATTGTGATTTTTCTTGTGACAGATTTTTTGTTTATTGTAACAAAGAATTAAAACTGTGCGCTGGATTAATGATAAAGGTGCACTATGTAACTTTTTGAGGGTCTGTCACATGCTTGTTTCTGTGGATATGTCATTGCGCTGCCTGGAATGTTCCACAGTGTGACTTTAAACAGCTCTGTCTTATATTTACAAAATTTTGATATTTTTATGGCTCAAAAATCTGACAAATCTGACCTGTAACTTGATCTGGTTTAGCCTTCTTAACGCTATAAAGGTTTAATACCATACTGTGAGACATCCAAGAAAAGTTACACAGTGCACCTTTAAGCAACAAATATATGAAATGTCAAATCAATGACATTTTTCTTTTAAATTAATAAAAATCTACTTCTTGATCCGTTTCCAGGACACGACCCCCCTCTGTACCCCGTCACTGCTGGAGAGGAGAAAGTCCATGGTGGTGGATGATGAAGAGGACGACGAGATAATCGTGAAGATGCCGCCGAAGTACGAGGAAGAGGAGGGCTCATCAGAAGAAGAGGAGGAAGAGGAGGAGGAGGAAGAGGAGGAAAAAGACAAAGAGGAGGATGAAGAGGGAGAGTGAACGCTTTCAGATGGAGCATGGACCTTACATTGAACTGTCAGGCCCTAGATAATGTTTGGTCTGAAAGTGACAGCAGTGGGACTGCTTCTTGTGTTTTGAATCCGCACGTGTCGATTCAAAAGGGACACAATATTTAATACATGTGGATATTTTTCAGTCTTTGAGCTTCTTCGTTCACAATGAACTTTGTAAAATTACACTCAGACCATATCCACAAACTTAAATAAGTAAACATTCGTTCTAATCAAGTGTGTTTTGCATTTCTTGTTATTAACTGTAGTCTCTATAATTGTCTGGGTCTGTTTCTATGAGCAACAGGAGAGTAAGGAGCATAAAACTGGCTGGCTGACTGGCATTTTGACGTGTTACCGTATCATTTAGAAGTTGCCGATACGATACATACCTCGATACATAGGCCTCGATATAGTGCACTTTTGTTTGTATACACTATATTTCAAATCAGAAAAATAAAAGCAAAATCATGGCTGTAAAACTAAGTCTTTGTTAAACCACTTCTTGTGCAAAGTTGCTATGAAACACAAACATTTTAATGATCAAAACTCTGAAAATAAACAACTAAACTGTAGCGCTGTCACAAAATAATTGAACAAAATATAACAAAAAATACATTTATGAATAGCACAGCCCCCGATATCGATACTGTATCATCACAATAAGCGATACAATAAAATTATTTTTAAATGTTTTTGCACACCTACCATATCATACCAACTTTATTTTGAAAGCAAAACATTACAACTGGTGTACACAAACGGAACAGACCAAGACAATCACAGTCAAAGACACAATACAACCATTAAAACAAAAATAAAGACTTAAGATGCTCAAGAAATCTATATTTCATGTGTAAAAAGCTAGTGAAAAAGGGAAGTTTTTAGAGGTGAGAGTAGAAATTATGCTTAGGGCTGTGGGAACTGAAGTTTCAGATAATGGGAGGCTGTCGTGGAGAGTTAATTAGATTCTCTGGTTGATGTAGAGCATTCCCAGCAGTCTGGGAAGTATTTTAAAGGATCTGGACACTGGACCCATATTTTAAAAGTCACAAACCTTTGTCAACAGGCATTATTCATAAATCACAAAATAAAGGTGGACTTAACCATTCTTGAACATTAATGAGGATATCTGAATAATTAGTATCTCAAGTTTTAAACAATTAAAAACAGTAATTGAACCAGCAATAAACACACACGAAACATGTTTTAACATTTCAACACATGCAGGTCGTGACAAGGCGACCCCAAAAAATCTCTTGTGACCCACCTGAGGGTCGCGACCCAGTCTTTGGGAAACACTGCTGTAAAGCACTTTGGTGCAACTTGTTACGGTTGTTTATATATGCTCTATAAATAAAATGACTTGAAATGATTCTAGTGAATGGGAAGTAAAATAAAAGTATTACCTGTATTACCACATGACATCACCAGGTGAAACAGTTTATGAGTGTTTTCTGTTTGAGAGAAGAACTCGTGCTAAATCTGCAGGGTTTGTGTGTTAAACGTGTGAATGAACCATAACACAACTCTGAGTGTGCTTTTGATGAAGAAACAACATTATCCAAATCAAATTTATGTATAAAGCACAGTTAAAAACAACAAAGTATACCAAAGTGCTGTACACAAAAATAAAAACATGTTTAATACAATGAAAAAAATATATATACGACAATTACTGAACAGCAAAAGACCTCAAAACTAGTTAAAAACCAAAGAAAACAAGTGATTTAAAAGCAAGAAGAGCGTCATCTTGTCTTATGCGAATAGGCAACTCATTCCATAATTTAGGCCCAACAAGACAAAATGCTCTCTCTCCTCTAAGCTTTTTGTAATAACACAGATCAGAAAGTAGTGCATTGTACCATGAGCAGTGTTGGGAAGGTTACTTTTAAAATGTATTCCGCTACAGATTACAGATTACAAACCCAAAATGTAGTTTGTAACGTAATCCATTAAATTACTTAAAGTGAGTAACGTAATCTGAATACTTTGGATTACTTGGTTTGCTGTAGAGAAGCAAAGATGAGGAAATCTTCACATAAGATATTTTGTCTGCAAAAAGACAATAAAAAGCTCAGACTTTACTTAACCGTATTAAAAATATTATTGATAATATTATTGATAAAAGAGGAGGAGGCATGGTCTGCATACCATGATTTAGTCCTGTTAAATCCTGTTTTAGTCCTTTTTTTGTCCTGTTTTATACCTGTTTTAGACCTGGATTAGACCTGGTTTAGTCCTGTTTTAGTCCTGGTTTAGACCTGGTTTTAGTCCTGGTTTAGACCTGGTTTAGACCTGGTTCAGTCCTGGTTTAGACCTGGTTTAGACCTGGCTTAGACCTGGTTTAGTACTGGTTTAGACCTGGTTTTAGTCCTGATTTAGTCCTGGTTCAGTCCTGGTTTAGACCTGGTTTAGACCTGGTTTTAGTCCTGGTTCAGTCCTGGTTTAGACCTGGTTCAGTCCTGGTTTAGACCTGGTTTTAGTCCTGATTTAGTCCTGGTTCAGTCCTGGTTTAGACCTGGTTTAGACCTGGTTTTAGTCCTGGTTCAGTCCTGGTTTAGACCTGGTTCAGTCCTGGTTTAGACCTGGTTTAGACCTGGTTTAGACCTGGTTCAGTCCTGGTTTAGACCTGGTTTAGACCTGGTTTAGTACTGGTTTAGACCTGGTTTTAGTCCTGGTTTAGACCTGGTTTAGTACTGGTTTAGACTTGGTTTTAATCCTGGTTTAGTACTGGTTTAGACCTGGTTTTAGTGCTGGTTTAGAACTGGTTCAGTCCTGGTTTAGACCTGGTTTAGACCTGGTTTTAGTCCTGGTTTAGACCTGGTTTTAGTCCTGGTTTTGACCTGGTTTTAGTCCTGGTTTAGCCCAAAATGTGAAAACAGGAAAATACTACTAAGTAATCCATTTATTCCAACAAAATAACTGTAATCCGATTACCACTCACTGAAACAGTAACTGTAACCGAACACAGTTACTCATAATTTGTACTCTGATTACGTCACTCCGGTACATGTAATCTGTTACTTCCCAACACTGACCATGAGCCCTTTAAAACTCACTAAACGAGCTTTGTAACGTCCACATGCACAGTTTCCCCACCAGATGTCGCCAGATCTCCACTTTTTCCTCCTCTTTACTGTGTTTTTTTTTTTTTTCCCTCTTGCCATTGCCATGCGACAGTTTTCCAAGTGCCAACATCATCCCGGGTCGGACTGCGCATGCGCCGGGCGATCCCATTCTTGTCCTGCAGGCAACATTCCGGGTGGAGAGTGTGAGGAGAGAAAGAGAAAGACTTACAAGAGATTTCAGGCCGTGGACTACTCTGTATTTACCGTGGCTGTGTTTGCGAGGCTGTGGCGGCTCTTTAGCGGGACATGGTGAGTGTCGAGACGGATGCGATCGCTGCTTTTGTCGGCTTCTCGGGCACGTTTGTTGCCTTTGTGCCGCACGGGGCTTGTGCGCTTGTAATCTGACGTTTCATTGAATAGAAAGGCTGCGCTTGGGGCTAGCCTTAGCTTTGATCACTCCACACCCACTTTATGGAAAAGGGTAAGCTGTTATTACATTTTAAAGCTTTGGAAAACATGCACGAAATCACCACAGAGAGGGGATTTTGTGCTTTTAATATTTTTTATTTTTTCTGCAAAGGTGTGGGAGCAAATCTTGGTGATGTTGGGGGTTTTTTTAGTTAGCCTTAGCACCAGCCAGCTAATGTTGCACAAAAAGCAAATAGCCTGTGGTGGGGTTAGACCAGGATGACCGGCTTCAGACAGCTTTAATTACACTGCTATGATGCCAATCGTGTAATCACTATCCTCATTCTGTTGTGCAATAATAATCTTTGCCTGGATCTTGCCCAAAGATGTGCTGTAAAGTAAATAGTCCATTCATGTAGGATGTCTTGAATTACATCAACCCATCTGGCCTGCAGGATTGGTAAAGTGAATCAAAAAATAAAATAAAATTGACATTGTAAACAGTTTGTGCACTAAAAAGAAGAGTATCCTACATTTGAGCAAAAATATAGCACAGTAAAGTAATGAAACTGTAGTCTTAATTGTAAAGATGTAACAATAACCGAAATATCGTGATGTCGTATCGTCAAAAGTCTCGCAATAATATCGTGGGCTGTCACAATATATATCGAATCACAAGTTTTTCTGCTTAAATGCATGGTTTTATAGTAGCAACAGCTTATAAACATCAGAAACTACATATCCCATGAGTCATTTCAGCGCAAACAACATGAAGAAATATGTTTTTGACTTGAATTCTTGGGATTATCACAGAAATAATTCACACCAAAATCTTGTCAGGGTATTTTAAAAGCAAAAAAGTGTCACATCTTTAATTATTAGCCTCTTAAAAATATCGAATGTGACAATAAATGTTCCAAATGACTGGTCAAAGCATTTTATGTTGTCAGTCTTTTTGTTATGTATAAAATCGTAATATTGTGAACCTCCCAAACATATCGTGAGCTTTCCCACGATATCGCAATAAATATTGTACCGTGACAATATCGTATCGTGAGACTTGGATATCGTGACACTCCTACTTAATTGTAATCCACCTATAGATCTGCTCTGATGTGGAATAAACACAAGCACACAAAGTTCTTTTTTTTATTTTTTATGAGTAATTCTAAGATATTGTCTTTGTTTATTTAAATTATAGACTTTCTATTATGATCGTATGATACTCTTGAACTCGAAGTTTCACTTTTATTTTGCGAGACAATCACTCTTGAACTAAAAGGTTCACTGTGTACCTTTTCTAGTGAGGTTCTGCCACCTGCTTGTCTCCTTAGATATGTTATTGATCTACCCGGAATGTTCCACAGTATGGCATTAGCTATCTTGCATTTATTCAGTTACTTAGAGTTCGACAAACTTCATTGATCCACAAGGGAAATTATTTCGGCACAGTAGCTCAAAAAAGACAATAAATATAATAACACAGAGCAAAAATATAAATGGTAATAATAAATTCTAAATAAGTAGAACAAAAAGAGCAAGAGACAAGTGTCAAATAAGACATAATTATATAAATGTAAATATACATTAAAATATAAAATCACAGCTTTATACCAGAGGTCACAGGAAGACAGTGCAACAATGATTTGATGATTGACAGGACGTAATGTTATCCGTGTACATTGTTGTACAGTTGTAGGGAGTATTATCTGTTACATAAGAGTGAGTTGTTGTACAGTTGTAGGGAGTATCATCTGTCACATAAAGCTGAGTTGTTGTTGTTGTTGTTCTTACAGGTATTTTATTTAAAAAAATTAAGTTTTTAAAATATTATATGTTCTTTCTGTGAGCTGCCTCTCCACAGATGTCACTTGTTGTTTGCGTCACCCGCTTCACTTCAAGGAGATAGACCAGTTTATTTTGACAATAAGCAAAGGAATGACATTTCCATGGAAACAAGCAGTGGGAAGACTCTTTACCAGAAAAGTTATATATTGCACCTTTAATTGTTATGACGCTTATCCTGCTTTCAAGCTTTAAAGGTCTTTTATTACACAACAATGAGATCCAATTTAAGGCCAATAACTCATTTATAGAAAGTAAATATCGGCGAGGATCAGCGACTTAAAGGTCCTATATTACACAAAATTGACTTTTGTGAGCTTTAAGCCATGTTATAATGTTGTTACCTCCTCAAAAAACGACCTGGAGTTGTGTTTTGTTTCATTCACACACAATTGAGTAACTCTTTATTATTAGTCTGTCCACATCTCCAAAGCTCAAAATGCTCTGTCATGTCATGAAGCGGTAGTTTTCAAGTTAACAGCTACCTTTAACCTTTTGTTCAGTAAAGTTTGGCGACTCCAGGGTTGAAATCATCCAAATGATCCTAGCGAAGGTCTGTGGAGTTTAAAAACACAGTGAATCACTTCCCGTATTACCACATGTCTTCACAAAGTGGAACAGAGTGTTTTGTGTTTAAGAGAACAACTCTTACAGCCTAAACATGTAGAGTTTTGTCTTAAACATGTGTGAATGAAACAAAACACAACTCCAGGTATGTTTATGATGAGAAAACAACATTATAACTTAGAAGAAAATAGCGTGACATGGGCCCTTTAGTGCATAAACTTCACTCCTGTGCAGCAATACAAGATCAAATACCTAAAATAGTCTCTCGGTCACTTCCCATTCAAACGCGAGGATTCGTGACTGTAAACCTTCAGCGTTATGTCTGTGATGATATGTAGTATTTGCTCTCCACTCCCAGACCTAGGGCTGTGATCTGAAGTGTGCATTCCTCCCTGCCAGGCCAGATCGTCTTGTCCCTCCACGAGAGAGAGAAAGAAAGAAAAGAAAGAAACAAGTCTGGAGTTATTTCAAGAGCAGTCAGTCTACGCTCACGGTGCTGCTCTACAAGTTAGTGCACCCGCAGAGCAAATACAGGCCGAGTGACGTCAGCAGTGGAGAGTCTGTCTTTGCTAAAGGGCTGATAGAGTACGCCGGCCCCCTCAGCGTGGCTCCGTTTCCATGGAAGGACAGATTGGTTTGACATAAATGAGAGACGAGTGAGTATAGAAAGCTGTTCATTATAGGGCCCGTGTTACTCTCTTTTCTGATCTACAGTACGTTATAATGTTGTTTCCTTATCGCAAACAGAGCTGGAGTTGTGTTTTGTTTCATTCATGTTTAACACACAAATCTTGTCTATTTAGCTTTAAGTTCTCAAACAGAAAACGCTTTGTTCCAAGTCCATACACCTTCACTACAATCATTTGGATAATTTAAGAACTGGAGCTGCCAATCTCTACAGAACAAAAGGTAAAAGGAGCTCTTAAACTAAAACAACTACTGCTTCATGAAATGTAGATGAAGACAGACGAATGTGTGAATGAAACAAAACACAACTCCAGGTCTGTTTTTGAGGATTATCACATGGCTAAAAGCTCACAAGAGTCAATTTTGTGTAATATAGAACCTTTAAAGAGAAAAGTGGAAAGAAATGTTGAGTTGGTGGAGTGTAGCGTCTTGTAAAGCTGTGCAGTTAATTGAATTTTGATTAATTTGATTTCGATTTGTGTGTCAAACGATCGCCAAACTCACATAGTCGAGTTGAAACGAAGCTTAAAGTTTATTTTGGTATGTTTTTTATATAAATAAGTATATTTATTTAATTTTGTAAATATAAAGATTGTAGAACAGCTGGATATATAGTTTATTTTTGATACATTTATGTTTTTGTATGCCTTGATTCATGTTCAAAGTTCGCAAAACTGCTCTAAGGTTCATATTTGTAGCCTATTTTTATTTTCAGTTTGAACGTTTTTGCGAGAGAAATGCTGAATAAATGCATCGTATAACTAAAAATAATCGTTTGAATAATTGTGATTTCAGTATTGACCAAAATAATCGTTATAATGATTTTATTCCATAATTAAGCAGCCCCAGTGTCTTGTGATCTGGGATATAGATTTTGATATTGATTTGTGTTGTTTAGGGTCTAATTACAGTTTTTAAGACAATGTTTTAATACTAGGATTCTGTTCTAAGTTCACATTTTAAACACGTCCTGAAGAATTGACAAAAAGACTGAAACATGAACCGACAAACTAATACGAGAATCACATTTCAGAGCGTGTTTGTACAGATCTAAACTACAGGGTTGGCAGTCTTTTATACGGAATGACACGGGAGATTTTATTGTTTGCGGAAGATATTACGTCGCTTCGTCTTTTCAAATTGCAATTTCAATTACGATTAATCTTGCAGCATTACTGTTGTTTACTCAAGGTCCAACTTAAGCCGTGCTTACTTATGGAAATGTATTATCTAAAGTAAACATTCGAGAAATTCTTTGTTGTCAGGGATGTATTCTTTATTTGAGGAAATGCTTTTCGCGTGTATAGAATTTGCTCTGCATCTGTATAACATCAATATGCCTTTGTTTGTTAAAATAATAAACCTCCTTCACTGTTGTATTCAAATGGCAGCTGAAACTGTGAGTAAAATAACACAAGTAAAACAAGTGATTTAATATAGTAGTAATAGTTTTTTATTGGGATCTTTTATAGACGAAACAAAAATTTACATGAAATCTGTTGTTTTTATTGTTAACTTGCACATTTTGTTGATAATTCCTCTTTATCTTTGGAATAAAACAGAGACACTTTTATAAAATTGTATCAGTGTGTGAGCAATTAACAATTAAAATAGTCTAACTCTGAAATTAGGGATGTAACAATAACCAAAATATCGTGATATCATATCGTCAAAAGTCTCATAATAATATCGTGGGCTGTCACAATATATCGAATTACAAGTTTCTTTGCTTAAATGCATGGTTTTACAGTAGAAACAGCAACATGAAGAAATATGTTTTTACTTGAATTCTTGGGATTATGAAATATGAAATAATTCACACCTAAATCTTGTCAAGGTATTTTAAAAGCAAAAAAGTGTCCTATCCACAATTATATCAGCCCCTCTGCAGTAAATATCGTACCGTGAGATGCATATCGTGATAATATCATACCGAGAGATTTGGATATCGTTACATTTCTATTTGAAATGGTCAAAAGTCTACAAAATGGCACCTATAGCGTGTATAACTGGAAGCTGAAGTCCACAAATTGCTACCAGAACCACAAATTATGTAGGGGTAGAATGGCATGTTGATGTTGTGGTGTGTAGTGTTGTCACAATACAGACATTTCAAACTTGATTTCACTAAGGAATAGATTCCACAAAGGTAATAAAAAAACATCCATCCAGGTTGGTTTCAATATAAAATCCGTGTATCATTCGTTCATTTGTTCTTCATTATTTGTCTCCAAAACCAAAATGAAAAAAACAGATAATGATTTGTTTTTTCAGTTTTTGATTTTGAGTTTAAATGAATAATGGAAAAAACGGATAACGACCATTTCCTGTTTCCGTGACTTAAACTGTGATGCCGGACTTTTGCGCCGCATACGGACTGAACCAGGACTGAACCAGGTCCAGAACCAGGACTGAGACCAGGACTGAGACCAGTACCAGACCAGAACTGAGACCGGGACTCAGATCGGGACTGAGACCGGGAACAGGACCAGAACTGAGACCGGGAACAGGACCAGAACAGAACCGGGACCAGACGGGGACCAGACCAGGACTGAGACCGGAACCGAGACCGGGACCGGGACCGAAACCGGGACCGAAACCGGGACCAGACCGGGACCGAAACCGGGACCAGACCGGGACCGAATCTGGGACCAGACCGATACCAGACCGGGACTGAGACCAGGACCAGACTAGGACTGAGACCAGGATTGAGACTGGGACCAGACCAGGACTGAAAACGGTTTAGTCGTGGTTTAGACCTGTTTTAGTCCTGATTCAGTCTTGGTTCAGTCCATATGCGGGGCAAAAGTCCGGCATCGCAGTTTAAGTAACGTAAGCGGGAAATGTTATCCGTTTTTTATCCGTTTAACACAAAATCGAAAAATGAAAAAACACATCATTATCCATTTTTTCATTTTGGTTTTGGAGACAAATAATGGTGAAAATAATTGTTTTGTCGTGTTCTTATTTTTGGTTTTCTATATAAAAATGAATGAACAAATGATGCACTGATTGTTCCACGGTGGTCCATGGGCGTATACTAGTCCATGTGCTCTTATACTTGTTCTGAAACAGCTCAAGTCTAAAATCAGTCTTAAAACAATTCAGTAAAGATTAATTTCTGTTCTGTGAATGTGACTTTTTTAGTATTGAAACCTGCTCCAATGAGTGTCTAGTTTTGATACTAGTTTAAGTACTGATTAGTATCTGATTTTTGATTCTTTTGACTGTCTTAGTAGCATGACATTTTACGCTGTTAATGCTGAAACTCTTTAATTAACTTTAATTTATGCGTATATGACACTCCTTTCTATGTTTTTTGTCGTTCCAGGGCACAGCAGGCCAGACCCCAAACCCAACCATGGAGCTGTGAGCCTTCTCTCCTCCACCATCCCTCCATCCATCTCCAATTTACTGCTGCCGGAGCCAAAACCACCTCTCCTCTCTCCTCCTTCTCCTCCTCCTCCACTTTCTGCCTGCCCTGCTCTGGTGGTTTGGCCTGGGTCCTGCTCGCAACAGCCCAGAGAAAGCCCGCGAGGGGAGGGTGCTGTAAACTTGCCCCAGCTGCTATACAGACACATGCTGCATTGCTACCATTCTCTGGCCACTCCAACATCCGCCGCTATGACAAAACTGCCAGCCTTGTGAACTAGCATTTGGCGTATTACGGAGATCTATCCATCAACCAAGCTGTACACAATCACACGTTTCGATCCAGCTGTTTATACCGAGTTCATTTCTAGTCCAGGTTGCCACGATGGAGCCCAGTATGGAGCATTGTTTAACGCTGGTACTGCAGAAGGATGTAGGGAAGAAGCTTCAAGTTGGACAGGAAATCATCGACTATATTCTAGATAAGGATAAGTCACATGACCTGGAGCAAGATCAGACCGCGCTGGACAAAATGGTGGACGGCATCGCGAGTTCCTGGGTCAACTCTAGTAACTTCAAGGTGAGTGTTGCTGGTAACATAAAAAGTGAAATGCTGATTGTATTCATAAGTTAAAACAACTGAATGGCGATTAGAGGTCTGCGCGGGACAGAATTTTCAGTCCCGCTCCTGCAAAGAATTGTAATTTTCAGTCCCGCTCCCGCCCACATCTGCGATATTTTGTCCCACGCCTGCCCGCAAGTCCCGCCGGATGGGAACCTTTGCTTTCTTAAAGGTTGTATGGAGGATTTTTTTATTTGTTTCAAATTGTCAGTGAAAGTTTAAAATGCCATTACAGAGATGCAGCAGCCTTGTAATTATGATGACCAAAAAAAAAAAAGAATGAAAATCCATCAACTGTGGACATGTTGAGGCCAGATAAACATCAGCCACTAGAAAACAAGGCTACCTCATTTTCTATTGGCTGTTAGGTTGTCAATCAAACTCCCTACGTTTCTAGCGTCACTGACTTGCTGGCACGCTGGGATTAAGAGGTTCGCCTCTCACGCACTGATGCCGTTTACTCAACCAATACAGCGGTTCTTAGTGTCTTTGTTTGTTGTAATGGCAGACAAGAATTCACGACCAGTTCATCGCAAACGAAAGTCTGTTTTTGACGCTGTGGAAAGAAGAAGAGAAGGGGAAAAGGAGCAAAGCACAACATTTGAAAAAGGACAAACAGTCGCTGCATTTCTCTTTCCTTGGAAAATCTTCTATACAACCTTTAAGCTATCAAACACGAAGAAGCGAAAGGAATTAGGCTGCGTATGGGAGGAGGCGCGGTGGGAGGTCCGGCGGCATGGTTAAGTCCTGGCTAAATCCTGTTTTAGTCCTGGTTTTAGACCTGTTTTTCAGAGTAGCCGTGTAGTCTTATAAGTCTTAAAAGGTCTTAAATTGCGTTGTCCAAGTCTTATTTTTTTCATAAAGGTCTTAAATTTCATCAGCCTATTTTCTGTATTCTCAACCAGGCTGCAGTGCAATGTTAAATGGAGGGAGCTAAAAAAAACAACGTGAAATCATGTAACATGAAGGTCTCATTTGGAGTATGCACAAACAGTACTTTGGGTTCAGGTGCCGGCAGCAGTGAGTAAACAATCAGTTCCCTTTACCCTGCCCAAGATGCAAAACTCTGGTCAGATCTGCTCCTATGCGTCACCCAAAAACACTCGTCTAAACACAGAATAAAAATTGAAGACGTGACGCTCCTTTTGTGTCTTCTGACCGTCATCATATAAACGTAGCCTAAGATAGATTCTAGATATAGTACCGGTTGTTGGTTGGTCATTGTTAGAACTGGATCTGGTGTTTTTCGACCGCATAACAGGTGCGATGTTGGTCTTAATTTTCATTTAAGTGGTTTTAAAAAGGTCTTTAAAAGGTCTTGGGGTAGTCAAACCTGGGGATACCCTGTTTTTAGACCTGGTTTAGTCCTAGTTTAGTTCTGGTTTAGTGGCGCAGCCCACGCGACGTACGGGAGGAGGGACTCTCCATGCGGTGTAAGGTAGGGGGGACGGTCCGTGTGGCGTAAGGTAGGGGGGACCGTCCGTGTGGCGTAAGGTAGGGGGACGTCCGTGTGGCGTAAGGTAGGGGGGACCGTCCGTGTGGCGTAAGGTAGGGGGGATGGTCCGTGCATCGTACGGGACGGGGGACGGTCTGCTGCGTAAAATGTTTTTATTAATGCCAAATAAAATATCCAGCAAAAATTTAGCATGATATACTTACATTCATTATTCGTATATTTGACTTTACACTCATATTTAGTTTGCGGGACTGCAGTTTATCATCCCACCCGCCCGCTCCCGCAATGAGCTTTCAAAATGTGTCCCACGCCGCACTTTTATGTAGGGTCCCGCAGGGCTCTAATGGCGGTATCAGTCTAAATCAAATTGGATAAAGTTGATCAAATTGACGGAAATGATTTGATACAATGTGCTTAGATGGTCTAAACCGCATCTTTCTTTCACATATTGTTGTACCCTTCCTATCCAACTGCTTTTTAAAGTTTTATAAAATAATTAGGGAGGCACAGAACCAACTTTTTCTGTTCTGATACTGATGTCTTTGCTGTAACTTTAAGTATCTGCCGATATCAAAGAAGCGCAGTGGAAAATTTTGCTGCAGCAAAACTCGAATTTCCCTCGGGATCAATAAAGTCTCTCTTTCTCAACTGATACTGGGGCAGAGACAGAAAATATAATACATTTTCCTCTAATGCAAACAAAATAAACATATCAACATTGCCAAAATCTGTGCTGATACCCGATACTAGTTTTGTATCAATGCAATTCTAGTAAAAATAACAATGAGAAGCATGTTATCCATTTCAGAATGTTGATCTGCTGCATGAGTGATTAACAATTTCACCAAAATAATATGTAAAAGGAAAAAGGTTGTATATAAGAGGAGCTGATGAGTAACCAACACCTTGAACTGGCCCTATGAAGCAATCCTCAAAAGCTGTTGTGGCCTTTTTTTTTTTAATGACTTTTTGGCAAATAATAACATATCTGCATCTTGTATTTTGTTGATTTTTTTCAATAAAAAAATTATAATATAAATACTTCATATAAATATATAAAAATTATTATATGACGTATTTATATTTGCTGACGAATTTTCGTCATCTGACAAACTCGAGATCAGACAGTGAGAGTCAGCGTACGTGTAGAGTTTTGTAGTGTAGTTAAAGGCGGCAAAATGGTGAGTGTTAAAGTACGAAAAGTTGAGAGAAAGTGCAGAGTTTTCAAAGAACAGTGGATGACCAATTATTTTTTTGTTCAGTGTAAGCAGCGTGCAGTTTGACTGACTTGTAAAGAAAGTGTGGAGGTTTTCAAAGAATATAATCTGCGTTCTGTTCTGTTATATGACCGATCCGACCCTGGCCCCCCATGACACTCAGGAGCGACAATGTGGCCTCCAGAGAAAAAAGTTTGTTGACCCTTGATTTAGACGGATCTGTGCTTGATTAGTTAATACTCTTTATAGTTGGAGCTTGATGTTAATCATTAGAGCCAGTAAGATGGTGTGTACTTTAGAGAAAGTCCTACTGCGTTGTTTGGAAAACTTGCTGGCTGCATTTCTGCACCTGGGGACCCATCTCCAGATCTTTGGCTGGGTTCTTGATCAGACTTACCTGGCTGCAGAATTCTCCTGTATTTAATTACTTTTCCGACTACTGCAATGTACTGAAGTAAAAACTATTACACATACAAGTGCTTCCTTATTGAAATCGAGGTGCACTGTGTGACGTTCATGGTGAAGGGTTCGCCAAATGCTTTACTCCATGAAAATGTTATTGCTTTATCTGAAATGTTTCACAGTATGACATTAAACCATTTTATCTTCATGGAGACCAAACCAGACCAAGTTACAGGTCAGATCTGTAGAGAGGCGACCCCGCTCACAGTCAGAGTGCCTGTTTTTCGAGGTATTTTTGAGCTATAAAACCACCTGTAATTGAATAAATGTAAGGTAGAGCTATGTAGGGTTGGGCGGTAATAAGATTAGGTATCCCGCGGTATCAAAAAGGTATCAGTTTCATTACATCATTAAAAAAGTCTGCAGTGCATAAGGACCTAAAATAATATTAGAATTTATTGATATCTAAATTTGTTTGCTCAGCTCAAATGAATGTGTGGTTGTATTTTCAATTTAATGCCGTCACGATTTAAATCTAATAATAGTCTATAATATTTCTTTTAGCTGCGTGGGGAGATGATATTTGATTAGTTTTATTCTGTTGACACGTGATGCTCATAAGAAAGACCAAGACAAGATAGCAAGTCAGGCCACAAGCAAGTTGGTCGCCCCTAAAATGACTCGTACTTCTGCAATTTGGCAGCATTTTGGCTGCAGGCCAAATGACAGGGAGAGCGAGCAAATGTTGACGAGGCTGAATGCAAAACATTTATGAAGACGGTGACCGTGAGAGATGAAAGCACCTCACATTTCAGGGCTCATGTGAGGATCAATCACCTTTCAATAGCCTGTTTCATCAGCCAGTTTAATTTTGTAGAAACTGTCTGACCTCGCAGCATTAGAATTTGTTCGCTCAACGGTAGGCGGGTACTTTTTATCATTTAACCAATCGCTGCTATTTGGTCGTGACGTATGTAATGCACTGCTAACTGGTATATTAAGCTTTTCCCAAATCCCGTAGGAAGAAGGGCAATAATGTCTTTCCCCTTGATAAAATTCACCAAACATTCTCTTTGTTCCGGCTTTAAATCCTCGATCTCGGGAATCGTTGACAACACTGAATATATGGCTCTTCGCTGATGGGCTGGTGCCCGAACTTGCACTTCCAGGATTCCTGACCTAATCACTGGAGAGAAATGAAATTGAGCGGAGGCCAGCCTGGCTACGATTTCAACCCCTCTTGCTCATACTTACGCCGAAGCAACAACTAGGCCCATGACCGCACAATCAACCGTAAAGTAGGCATTCGGAAAAACAACAAAGTACAAAAAGGGCAGTATCCGTTTAGCCAGGCTGGCGCCACCTAGTGCCTCCACTCAAATTAATTTCTCTCCAACGACTAGATCAGGAATTGAAACACAGTAGACTGTTCGCAAAAACCCTAGAAGTGCGAGTTCGGGCACCAGCCAGCGATTCCTGAGATCGAGGATTTAAAGCCAGAACAAAGGGAATGTTTGGTGAATTTTATCAAGGGGAAAGACGTTATTGCCCTTCTTCTTACGGGATTTGGTGCATTACATACGTCACGACCAAACAGCAGCGACTGATTAAATAAAAAAGTACCTGCCTACCGTCGAGCGAACGAAAACTAAGGCTACGAGGTCAGACGGTTTGTACGAAGTGAAACGAAGTAAAACCGGCTGATGAATCAGGCTAGTATCTGTTGGAAACCCTGTACAGATGCAGTGAACAGATAGTCAAGGTAATACCGTATACCGCGGTAAAATGCTGAGAAGGGTTAACAGTATGAAAATTTGGATACAGCCGAACCATAGAGCTATGCCATATCCATAAAAACAATCAGGTGATGGACCCCTAACCAA